AGGTTCTCCCGCAGCTACTTTAGCTGTGCCTGCCTCTCTCCTGCCAGGGGGAGCTGCGGGGAAGTCCCCATGGCTGCCCTACCCAGCCCCAGCCTCCCGGCACTTTAAAAAAAAAGTCCACACTCACCGACTGCAGCACTCACCCGAAGCCCAGCAGCACTCAGGCCCAGCCACCCCAGCTCCCAGACAGTGCATAGCACCTTGCCGAGATGCACTGCACCTGTGCCATGAGGCAGCTGCCACGTGGGTGCCATGTGGGTGGCGATCCCTGCTGCCCCACGCTGCATGGGGGGGAGCACCCAGAGGCCCTGATCGCTGCTGCTGCAGCCAGTAAGTGTGGAGCTTTTTTTTTCTCTCTTTCTTTTTTAAAGTGTCAGGAGGCTAGGGCTGGGCAGGGCAGCCATCACGACTTTTCCTGCAGCTCCCCTCACCCAGGGAGAGGCAGGCACAGCTGGAGGAGCCACGAGAGAACCTGCAGCTGCCCAGCTGTGCCTGCCTCTCCCTGGCCGATCCGAATCACTGAATCTCTCTGAATCAGCGCTGAGACTTTCAAAGCCGATTCGGCCAAATCAAATGGGGACAGTGATTCGAATCAGTCCTCTGAATCGGCTGAATCCAAATCGAATACTTCCCTATTCACACAGGCCTATCCTCCAGAATCTCAGGATGCATAGCTCCCAACACCACCCCATGGCACTCAGAGCAGGGATATAGACCTGGCGTCCTGGCTCATAGCCATGCCCCTGTTCATCAGTGCCCCTGCTCATCAGCCCTCTAGTGGGAAATTAGTGCTATGCAGGCAAGAAAAAATATTAAACCTTAATGTGCAGCTGTTTATAGAACACTGTAACTTCAACACTACTTAACATTGCACAGATTTAATATGGTCTAAGTACAACGTGTAACTCTGCCCTAAGTATTCTATAATCAGAAGAAGCATTAGATTTGTAGGGATGTTAGCTTTGAGCCTAAGAAGCGAGTCTCTTCCACCCACCAACCATACTGCATATCTTGTACTAACTTCATCTCCTAGATCCCCTCCCTAACCCCCCATAGACTGTTGCCTCAGCCAATTACCATGGTGGCTCACCCCTAAAGCCAGCTCTATATTTCATCTAAGGCAACTATGAATGCATTTTGTCTGTTAAACATAGCAAATCTCAAGTAACACTTTCAGTGGGATCCTATATCCTAGAAATGTCTCAAGCCATTAGTTAAAACTTAGAACTTTCAAATGTAGAAAATATCTTAAAAGTTTGTGTTTGGCTTGAAAATACATTTAAAGAGTTGCTCTTTTGTTTTTGTTTCCAAGTATGGTTGAAAGTCACATGATTAAATTCCACCAAAGTATCCATTCTAAAGACAAAATTCCAACACACACACACTCAAGAATGCACTCTTATCCACTAATAAGATTGGGGGAACCATTCTAATACACACGGAAAGTATTCGAGCAGGTTATTGTCTGTGATCCTATTTCACCAAATCATGACATGTTAGTCTGAAATCATGCAGAAGGTATGGCAGGGTAGGACCTTAGAGGAGTGCATCTGATAATCTAGTTTGTTGCCTACAAAAGCTCATACCTCTTCTCTGAACCAGCTGCTTTCTAAGGTGGCACTCTACCTTACTTTCACAATAATGAACACAGTGAAAAATCACTCATTTCAAAAGAGAAAGTTTTAAAATACACTTACTGAAATGGTGTAAATAGAAATGATAATGTGGATTCCTTTTTCTGAGTCATTTTAACCTGTAAACAATACGAAAACATAACAAAAGCTGTAACTAGAAATAGAATTAAGTGTGTAACCTGAAATAACAAATGTTTGAACAGACTGCTGGGGTGTTGTTTGTTTAAGAAGATGAAATTTCAAATCCACTGGTAATAAAATTGGGTATTCTTGAGAGCACATAGTTCAAGCTGTGTGTGGCTCCTCACACAGCTGACATACCTGTCCTTACAAGATCATGCAGCTCAGAGACAGACAAAATAAAAGCTCTCCACTCCCACTTCCCAAGATGTTCTCACAACAGTATTTCCACAGTACACAGGATGATAAATAAATGTATCAGTGGTAATGCCAACAGACAAGAACTAACACACAGTTGTAAAGATGTTGGAAATGGTGATCTTGGATCTATTAACTTGGACACAAACAGAAGTGGGAGGCACTGATGTAGTCAGTCACTTTGCCCGATAGTACTTTGACCCAAGCTCTTCACCAGTTTGACCTGATGCTTAATGGTTCATGCAGAGCAGCAAGGAAATTTATAGTACATTGCTCCCAAGATCCAGCAGCTTGAGAATCTGCTGCACAGCTCCCCTCATCCATCCAAAACAACTTTTCCCTAGGTAGCAGAAGTAGTGGCCAGATCTGTCCATCACAGAAAATATAAAGATACACTTAGTATCTATGCACTGTTGGACAACATTTACTTCTTCAAGAGAAACCAAGAGAGCCTGCTCACATATATAACTCTCTCTCCCCCTACAAAGAACTTTGGAAGTAAACAAGCCAGGAAAAAAATGGAGTACAATAAAAATATAGGTCAAATACATTAAAATAATTGCTCTGGCTCTTAATTAAAGCAAAACAGAACAAAACATACAACTTATATAAAAACCTATTAAAAGAAGATAAACCTAACTGAAAAAAAGCTGAGGAAAACCATCAATATTAAATGAAAAAAAACAGTCAAGGCATTCATCTGGCCATCAAGAGACCTGGATCCAATTCCCAGTTCTACCACAGATTTCTTGTGCAATATTAAGCAAGGGAGGCTGTTTGTGAAACAGTTCTCCATGTGCAAAATGGATGTCCTCGCATGTTGGTTTAATCGAGAATGAACTTTGGGTGGAAAGGATGGTCTTTTGTTATGTTCTTGAACAATATTTAACATAATGGACCTGTATGAATAGCCCTAATATAAATCATTGCAATCAGATGAAGCAAAATGAAAGAAACAGATTAAACCATTTGTGCTAAATTATTTGAGCTGCTTAATTAGTGGAAAAAGGTATACTATTTGCATAAAACTAGTTCAGTGGCTCTGAATGTAGTATGTGCCAACCCACATTCATACAGAACAGATTATCTATACATAATTATCACTTCTTGGTGTTTGGCCTAAGATCAAGCATAACAAGGGGCATCTGAACTGCCAGACCTCAGGGTTTGGGACTTGCAAGTAGGATGCCTTACAGGATATGGGGAATATCTGGACTCCCAAGCCCATGGGTCTGGGAAGCAGGATACTAGCCCAGTTGTCGTTTTATGGCCCACGTATTTTTGTAGACATGGTTATTAAGCTTTGCTCAGCTGAATTTGGAACTGAATAGGCACTTGGTTTCAGTAAAAAAAAAAGTTATTTATATATGTCACATATTTAGGGCCAAATTCTACCCTCACAAGCAAACATTATTAATTGACTCCAGTGTGAGCAACATGCACTTGCAATAGCTGGAGCCAGAGAAATTAAATCCCCTAGTCCAATACAATGTAAAACTAATCCCTACATTTCAACATTCACATTTAGGTCAGAAAGGAATCTATTCTTTAAAAAAAAGGAGGTTTTCATCAATTTAAAGTAGCATATTTTCAATCACACATAAATCTACTTGTGTGTGCAAGATTGAACAAATAGCTGACAACATGCAAGTGCTATTTCCCTCTGCTCGGTATTACAAGCTGCCATCATAAAAATGTAACCTGAAATGTATACACTGTGCTATAAAACAGTTTAAGTAGAATGGCATGAATATTTTTAGTTTCAAAAGCCATGTAAGATGAAGAACCTGTCCACCTTAATATTGTTTACTTACCTTAAACTGCTCAAGAATCTGAACAGCATTTGTAAAAATGCTCTCAGCTTTAAAATGAACACTGTTGTTCAAGTATTCCAGAGGCAGAATTCCCTGCAAATATAAATTATTAAAAATTAACTAGATTCATGTCTGTTCACATAATCACAACCAAGATCAAGAAGACAGTGAAGTTAGTTATACTGACTGAACAGCAATCTATTGTTAAAGCTACAAATACTTTTCCTTTCACAATTTCTTTGCATCAGAACTAATTAGGGTAATAAATAGAGCACAGGATTTTTCCCAACTCTCACTGAAAAACTGGTAATATTCTCTAGTATGCAATTCAAGTACAATAAATTATTAATTGAGAAGCTAAAGGCCATTTTAGCCAAAATATCATCCTTTATCTTTTTTAAAAATCCTGTTACCACTTGAGCCAAACAGCTTTCATCAACTTCCATGAAGCAGAACTGTGTCCAGAAGGTCTGACCCATGCTTTCCATACTAGTGTGACATCAAAGGTATCTTACCATCCTTGTGCCCAATTTCTCCATTTGAAAAATAATGAAATGGTGATCTTTGAATAATGTTAACTGAATTCTCTTGAGACACAAAAAAAATCTTACTTCCAACTACTGGAGCGTAACTTGTTTTTTACTATAAAGGGTCCATTTTTAAATGCTATAGGTTTTCATTTAATGTTCTCGTTTCTCCCCAGCACACACATACATTCATTTTCTTGTAAATCTGCACAATCTGTACCTCGTTCTCCAGCTACACCTGTTTCCATATTAAGAAACAGGTCCCAGGTCAAGAGCTATTCCATCCTGTTGCACTGAGGCAGGCTAGCAGGAAGCAGGCTGTAATTCTTGACTTTGCATACTTCCAGCCTCAGCCCAGCACAGACTACAATGGCCTATAAAATGTTCTAACCTACTTCAGCTGTCAACCATCCTTCAAGATAATCCAGCAAAACCTCTCCTGGCCTCAGCCCACCAACAACTGAAGGGACCAATTGTTATAATTTAAAATACCACACTACATTGTATAATAAAACAATTCTCCCTCCCCACAGCCTTTTAGAGTAAAACTGCTTACCACAGAATTTAAAGGAAAGGGAACACCAATAAGAGAAGCCATCAACGGGGCTATATCAGCCTGTGGAAACAGAAATGTTCTCATTTTAGAACGCTTCAAGAAATCTAGAGAGTAGATACATGTATTTTAATTTTCATGAATCTCTATTTTAAAATGCAAGTGCTAGATCTGTCAGAATTTCAGAGCAGTGAAAAGCACTTCAAAGAAATATTTGTCAATTAAAATAAAATAACTTTACTGATTTTTTAATGGAATCAGTGTCGAGATACCAGAAGGAATTTTAATTCTTTAGTAAACCAATGTCAGTTTAATATATCTTAAAAATAATTCACTTTTTAATGCAAATTAACGCCTCTATACTTGTTCATGTAAATTAAATATCTCTTTCATCAATGTTGAAGAGAGAAGCTTATCTGCTGTTTTCATTATTCTAAGCAATACAGCAACCATCCAGTGCATGAAACCAATTCAAGTGTCATCCATCCACTGACTAACTTTTACTTATTTAGAGCCACGTTCTTTTTGAGATTTGTCGCATTTAATTAGCCATTTACTTGACGAGTGATTCCTTTAAGTGGCAGCAGGGCTTCTAATGAAACAAGATACTATTCATCATGAGAAAAGGTACAAACAATGGTTAATAATTCCATAATTTCTCTCTCTCGGTGCCTAGTGGCAGCAACACCAAAGCAAGCCCATCTGGCCTGGTACACCCTGTACAAGTTACCCATCACTAAGAGAACAGGTGACCTCCAGGGTTGGTTGCTGCCTGGGTTCTGGCCATAGGGACTTTCATCCACTACTTAGACACAGTGGCACTGACATACTACTATTTCTGCAAGGTGGAAGAAACTCTTTCCCATGCCTTTCTGGACTGCCCCTGGCTGCAGCTGCTTTTTGCTGCCCTCAGCATGCTGATATTGGACTTCTGCAAGATTGTGGACATCTTTTCAATCCCGTACCAAGTGGCCAAAGGGAACATGATCTGTCTGGCCAATTTTCTGTTGGACCAGCCAAGACAGCAACTGAAAAGCCACAGAAACTGTCTTACAGGGGCCAGCTCTGATGATGCCTTCTGACTCTTCTGATTCTTGGTCCAGGTGTGTCATGACTGTTTTTGACATTTCAAATTGCAACAAAATATGGACCAGTTTGTGTCACATTGAGCCACTAAGATGGAAGACAGATAGCTGGTCCTACCTACATGTGTAACCTCACGAAGGGCATGGGGGAAGCAGTTTCAATCTCTTGTGCCATGATGGGGTTTTTGATGTTGTTTCATGCTTGGCCCCTGGGAGAGGAACATATCTTTGCACTTTCACTATTTGATTTTATTATTTGTATAATATCCTTTTTAAAAAGTTTTTAAAAAGTCTCTCTCTCTGATTTGAATTTGGACACTTCACTTTGCGACAAAATGTGGACCACCAGTCAGTACCACATTGGGCCAAAGGGGCCCCCTGCAAGGTGGAAGACAGGCAGGTGGTCCTAAATCTATAACCCCATGAAGGATGTTCGCAGGGAGGGTGTTTCAATCTCTGCCAATATGGGCATTTTGTTCCTGATGAATCTTTCATGCTTGAGCCCTTTTTGCAGGGGGAGGCACACACACTTTTGCACTTTCAACTTTGTTTAAAATGTTTTAGATATTTATAACAACTGTTTGAAAAAATTTAAAACAGCACACTCTCTCTGTAATTTTCTTAGTTACACATTTCTGTAAATCTGAAATAACCCCACTGATATCAACAGAATTATTCTGGTTTCACTCTAGTATCAATAGAGAATCTGAGCCATTATCTCTAAAAGGTAGAAAGACTCACAGCCGCATTTATGGAATCCTTCCAAGTAATTCCCAGCACAGAACACAGTGAGACTGAAGACTCCAAACTCCTCAGCCCCTCTTGTCTTCTCTAGCTGAGCTAGGTGGGCAGACAGCAGTGTCTGCTAACTCAGCTGAGGGCCTGATCTATCTAGCAGCACCTTTGGAGAGAGCTGAGGGCCCACCTGGCCTTGAGTAGAGGGAATGAGCAGTTTGGTCCCAGCAGGACAGGGCCTTCAGCTGACCTAACCAGTACGTCTGGCTGTCCACCCAGCTCTGCTCGAGAAGAAAAGTGGGGGCGGGCAACTTGGCACAGCCAGCAGTGTCAGATCCTGCTGGAGCCAAACTGCTTAGACCCAGCAGGCACTGCTGACTCCTCACCCAGCTTGAAAAGGGGGTAGGCAGTACAGCTTCAGTAGGATTGGGCTGTCTACTCCCCACATTCCTCTTTTAAAACACTAACCTCAATATCCAGCAACTGATTTTGGGGAAAAAAATATGGGTCATATTTAAGTAAATACAGTTATCTGACAGCTTTGGAAGATCACCCTGCACAAATGGCTAATTCAGTTATGTACCAAAAAGTATTCTTCAGATGCTCATGACCTGCAGCAACCACCTCCTGTCTCTTTTCAGTAACCCAGTGCCCAGGAGGCAGGCAAGGAAGGAGGGAAAGGAGTCAGTTCCAAGAGACCATGTCAGCTGTGAAGTGGCAGGGGAGGGCTATAAATGCGTCCCTTAAAATCTGTAGGAAGGAGTCCCATTCTGAAACTACCATTTGCTATGCAAATTCTTATAGCGTTCATAAAAGGATTCTCCCCTGCAGATGTTAAGGTAAACAGGACAGGAAATTTAAGCGATATCTAACAAGCTACAAGTATTATGGTATTTATGTACACTGCCAGTTGTTTGAAAGCTCACCACTGCTGTCAGTAGAGGCACTGTGTATTACACCATGATCTTTCCACAGTAGTATGTGACAAGGTCATTAAGGATTGTCCCAGTACACATAAATAAAAAGAAAAAAGTTACATGAAGTCTTCGTATCAACTGAATTTTGCTTACAGAACCAATTTTTCCCAAGATGCACATAGTTTGTATGCAGCAGTTAAAATCCTTCCGCCAATAGAATTTAAGGGACAATTCTAGAAAAGTTACTTTACTGTGATCACCCACTCCTTCAAATTGTTTTATAAGCCTTGTGAGATTACATTTTAAAAGGAAATTTAAGTTTTGAGGTGGAATAATTTCTCACCTGGTTGACATCCACTCTCTTCCTGTTCTCCAGTTTCCATTCTAAAAGAAATGGAACACATAAAATTAGCTGATAAAGAGACTTTGAAGAAATAACTCCTTTGATATTTAGTGAGTTTGTCTGCACTCAATAAAGTATAAAAGGAGACCCAAGGAAGGTCACAGACCAAACTGAAAAGGCAGAAGTGTCTCCTTCATCCACAAGGAAGTTACTAGTTGTATCTGTGATTGAAGTCTTTTGATCCTACAACCTTAAGCAACATAACAGATGGATCACCTGCAGAGCCAAATGAATGATACAAGCAGATTTAAACAGTGTCCATCTTTCTTTTGTCTGCTTTGAAAGGGTTATCTCAATATTCCCTAAAGAAACACAGCACATACTCACTGAAAGGTAAATCTAATCACTACTATGTATGTCAGGCTTGAAATAAAAGCCCACAGTGAGAGGGAGGGTGGGAGGAAAGAGCAGAGCACTATGAGATGCTGAGAGAACACAAGACATGCCCCCCACTATGTCACTACAATGCAATGGCCACACATAATATGGATGCTTCCACATTTCTGTAGCACTACAGGAGATGTGCATATCTGTCCCCTCATATTTAGTAATGCTACAAGGATGTCTGCACCATGACAAATGTCATATCTTATTATGGCCAGAGTATGCATGTGCCCAAGTAACTTCTGGTAGCTTTGTTACAGTGGGTCACAATGTACCCTAGGAGTTACCAGCTCAAGACAACTCATTTAACAGTTCAAGACAACTTAAAACACATCTGTACAAAATCAAATTTATTCACTATCAGCCAATTAAGCTGCTGACTTTCAAGCAAAAAAGCTCTTTTACCTATCCCAAAACAAACACTCATCACCTTTTTAGAAAGAGATGCACTTGAAAGAGCGTTCCTGAGTCATCTGGCTGATAATTTTTTCTCCCTTCAAGGAAATCTCTTTCCTAATTTGAGTTTGTTCCCTGTTCACAACATCACTCCTATTGCAACAAGCAGCTTTTCCATTTTTTTCACAAGCCTGCCCATTATTAAAAGTAGAGGAAAAGTTAGGGGAAATAAAGGTTAAAAGCAATCGTTGACTGCCACCAGCATTTTATGTACCACATGTTGGAACTCACCCAGAGCAGATCTTAGCTGCGAGTGTTTTAAATGCAAACAGCAGTTTACCTACACTACAGCACCGAATTGCTTTTTCATAATTGGTTTGTCTTCCTCCCATCACCCCCCAGTTGCAGAGTTCTTTCTCTATAGATAAGATTCAAATACCAATACCCCAGGTAATTTCTCCATCTCCGCAGATGTCTTCCATTTGACATCAGCAGATACCACACAGAGATCAAAGGCAGGATTCTGTCTCAAACTCGCTCATTAATTCATAACTGAGCTTGTGCCAATATAAACTGAATTTCATTCAATATTCATCCATATTTCTGTAATGGGACAGAATAACTGTTTCTTCCTACAAGTGTTTCCCCCCTAAGAAAACCATTACAGAGAATATAAATTACTAGGTTGGCCACATCTGTGCAGTTCCTGGAGGCTGCTCTTTTAGAGACTTATGAAGCATTGCTTCAGTACCCCCAGAGAAGGTACTGTAAGAAGCCAAACTAGGCTAGAATAGAGTGCAGTTGTGAAGATGGAGGTACCTCCACTATTTTCCAGAAAAACAGACACTTTCCTCATCTTACCACTGATCTACAGCTAAAATGCATATGTTTTCTGTAAGTGTCTAATGCTGTTAGGGAGGGACAGAATCCAACTAGATTTAGAAAAATTACAGAAGTGAGCAAATGAGAATAGGATGGAATTCAATGCAGACAAGTACAAGTTGCTGCACCTAGGGAGAAGGAACCAGCAACACGCCTATAGGTTGGGAAACACCCTTCTTGTCAACATGGTGGCAGAAAGGGATCTTGGAGTCATTGTTGACTCCAGGATGAACATGAGCTGCCAATGCCAGGAAGCGGTCAGTAAGGCTAACTGCACCTTGTCGTGCACCTACACATGCATCACAAGCAGGTCCAAGGAGGTGATTCTTCCCCCTCTATGCGGCATTGGTCAGGCTACAGTTGGAGTACTGTGTCCAGTTTTGGGTGCCACACTTCAAGAGGGATGTGGCTAGCACTGAGAGGGTTCATGGGAGGGCCACTTGCATGGTCAAGGGGAAGCGGGGCAGGCCCTACGAAGAGAGGCTAAAGGGCCTGAACCTATTCAGCCTCTACAAGAGAAGGATGAGAGGAGATCTGGTGGCTGTTTACAAACTCACCAGGGGGGACAAGTGAGAACTGGGGGAGGCTCTGTTCCCCCAGGCATCACCCAGGGTTACTAGGAATAGCAGCCACAAATTGTTAGAGAAAAGGTTCAGGCTGGACATCAGAAGACATTACTTTACACTTAGGGCTGCCAGGCTCTGGAATGGGCTCCCAAGTGAGGTGGTGCTCCCTCCTACCTTGGGGGTCTTCAAGAGGAGGCTGGACAGATATTTGGCTGGGGTGATATGACCATGGCACCCATTCCTGCCCGGGTCTAACCCTAAGCACTTTGAAACTAGCTGTTTTCTTGCTGCTGGGCAGGACAAACACTCTTACCCTTTTATCCAAGGTTCTTATCAAGATCTGCTGAACAGTGAGACAAGGAAGGAAAACAATAACTAATACCAATAACAGAAGAGCAAAGGAAGTTTAAAAATCACCCAATCCAAAAGGGAACTGTTCATATTAACCTCTGAATGCACAAAGCAAAGAAGGAGTATCAGCTCTGTGTATAGACAACGATTTTGTTTGTATGCACAGGATAAGACTTAAAATTGGTGGGTTGCCTTTCCCTGTAAAGTTACACATTACACTTAGACCATCTGAAGGGCACTTAAAACACAAGCGTCTGCACATTAAAGCTTGTGAACTTGTGTTAAGTGCCCTCTGAGAGTCTCAAAGTTATGTCACTTCACAAGTTCAGGTGAGAGTTAACTCTGGGCGATGCTACCTAGCTCATGTTAAGATAACTTCGGTCTATTCCACAGAGATAAAATGAGCAATGTGCAGTCCTCCAGCATCCCAGGATACATTGCTCCCAGCCCCCACTCCAACCCAAAGCAGGGACAGAGTCCAAGTGTCCTGGCTCATAGCCATGCCCCTGCTCACCCGTCCTCTAGTAGCAAGTCAGAGTTGTGCAGGCAAGAAACGGTATTATCCCTTGATGTACAACTGTTCACAGCAAATTCTAACTTGAACACCACCTAACATTCCACAAATTTAGGAGAATCTAAGTGTAACTTCATCCCTTGGAAGTTACTCTGAAAGTAGCTTCTGGAATCTAGGCTTCCCCTTCTTCAGAAAGACAAACCATGATACAGCTGTGAAGATGGCCTGACGGATAAAGCTATTACATTGCACAGCAGATGTAGGTATGTCATCAGGATTCTGCCTGAAATGGTAGCATGGATCAGCCATCAGGGAGGCAAAACACAGGTGAAGTAACTGATAAGGAAAATTCTGTCATCTCAGAACAAGCAGCATACCACTGAAACCATATGAGAAGCATACTAATTGCTTTACACCAAACTGAACAAGTTAACTCTGTTGCAACTGCTGCCTGGGGTAGAATCCATCCTTGATGGGGGTAAAAGCTGAAAGGGGGAGTTGGAGACCTAAAACAAACAAAAATCCCTTACATACCTGGAACTGAGAACAAGACTGTCTGTATTACAAATTGTGGTACCTCCTATAGCCCAACCTTCTTAAGGCACTGTAAGTAATGCTGCAGCCCAGCCAGGACAGGGATGTGAATGAGCTTGCTCACAGCCCCAGTCCTACACTGTCTTACAACCACAGCCCAACCAGGATAGACCTAGTCTGGTCCCAGGCTTGCTCACAGCCCAGTCCCTGAGGGAGCAGGCAAGCTGCACTCCCCAAAGCTACACTCAGTCACTATGTACCCTGCTCTCTCTCTCCCTCCTCCACACCAAACCACAGTGAGAGGGAGCATGGGGAGAAAGAGCAGAGCACTGAGAGATGCTGAGGGAGCAAAAGACATGCCCCCCGCCATGTCACTACAATGCAATGACCACACATGATATGGGCGCTTCCACCATTTCTGCAGCACTACAGGGGGTGTGCATATCTGTCCCCTCATATTTTGTAATGCTGCAAGATGTTTGTAGCATGACAAATGTAATATCTGTTCATGGCCAGAGTGCGCACGTGACCAAGTAACTTCTGGCGGTTTCATTATGGTGGGTCACAGTGTACCCTAAAAGCTACCAGCCGTTAGACAGACTACAGCAGCAAGTCCTCCCAGCAGACTTGCCATGCCCATTTTCTGAGGCAGGAAGAGTCTAAAACCTGGGAAGGATGCTCAGGATTCTTTCCAGAATGTTTTTAACTTTTGCAAAAGATCCTAAAAAACATGTTTTATCTAGAACATGAAAACCTCATTCCTGTGGAGAACCGGGCTCACTACAATGAAATCAATAGCAAAGCTTCCCACTACAGCTACACACACCACCAATTATTTCTTTTTCGTGCTGGTGAATGCAAAGCACGTAAATCTAGTTTTACGCTTGTTAAACTTACAAGGTTTTCTACTATATGTGAGCCTGGAAAAATGTGAGGGTTACATACTATCCTTTTATTATGTTTTGCTTTATATGTGCTCTTTGAAAGATGTGGGTTTTAAAGGTAATTGGTAATTTACATACCTTTCAAAAAATTATCCTCAAAGGCTTGAGATGCGACGCTCTGGGGATAATTCAATCCAGCTCCCCAAGCAATCAATGGTGTTAAAGTCTCTGAGGGATGGCCAGCCCCATGAGATCCTACAGATTGTGTCAAACCAGAAGCAGAATTAACTTTATAAGCAAGGCAGTGATTCCAAAAGCCAGGTTTATGGAAACTTTTCGTACTTCAGACAGCCCGACTCTAGCTCCATATTTTACTAGAATCCCTCTTCCGATAATTGCAATACAGATATTTCTGGAATATGTTAAGATTGTTTAGTGAAAAGTCCGCTGCTCTTTCCCTTTGAAATCTAGGTCACCACTGTTGTACCTCTACTCATCAATATCAAAGACCAAACTCTGTGAAGCTCATGTCTCTTATGCTAGAACACAACTACCGTCAAAGCAGTGTTAAAATATACTACTTTTTTGCCTTGATATGATACTCATATGGAAATTAATTTCCGTAGGGAAGAAAGTAGAGTTTTATCAATCTGTAAACGACTATATAGCTAAGCTTTTTAATATGTAACATGATATTATACCTTTGCATAATTGGATTTTGCATAATTGGCAGTGTGTTAAAATATTCTGGCAAGCAACTACACTATCAAGTAGGAAATTTGAACTGATCAAAAGATAAGACGTTAACAGTTTTTCACATGATAACTATGTAAAGGTTTAATTTAACCCTTATGAAAAACTAGTCACTGATAATTAAAGGCTTGACTTGTGTCCTAGCATTTGTAGGGGTTAAGCTAGGCCCCTGACCTGTCTTTAATTAGCTACTTTGAATCATTTTTAAGCTCTTTGAAAAAGATAGGTATCTATTTACATATCCCCCACCCCCAGCTAACTAGCTCATTCACAAAGGGAGCGAGAATAGTCTGTTCTCTGCCTCTCCCAGGCAACTGCTGAGCTGGACTTCTGCTTCTCCCTGGATACCCAATGCCTACTTCAGGTGTTAAGGCTAATTAGGTCCTCAGCAGCCCCTTACTTCTTTCCTAGCTATGGTAGAGTAATACAAAGGCATTGTGATTCATGCATTACATGAAGATAACACCAAGCAATTAGCATAGACTGGTGGCTGCAGAGCCTTAGTGAGAATAGTATTTACAACCTGGTCATAAAATCGGATGTTAGCCAATAACGAAAGCAGACTGCACAGATTTAACAACTCTCACCCCAATCTGTCATTCCATGATCAGAAGTTACAATAAAGGCAGTTTTCCCATCATTTCCATAAAAATCCTCAAGAAGAGATACGATTTCTTTTATGCCGTCATCTACTTTTCTGATATTATCTTTATATTCCCTGTGAACAATAGAGAAAAATATACCACTTGAGTTCAGGTGACCTTTGAATTGCAGATTACACAGTGAGATGCACATGCTAGAACAGCCTTGTGTTTAAGGCAGACTTCTTGACTAGGGCCAATGCTAGGGATTCAAGCTATCAAAGAATCTGAGGTTCAAATTTCTCTTCCTCTATACACAAAACTTTGAGGTCCCTAGCAACCCTGCTTTCCAATGATCCTATGAATTTTGGTTCCTCTTCCAAAGGTCATGCTATCATTACATCTCACCTTTTCCACAGAGATTTGCATCTTCCAGGATCAAAACAGTCTCTGTCTAGCAAGAAAAACAAGCTTTGGTTGGTAATACCTTTTGTTGGATAAGCTTTTGGGCACAAAATGCCCTTCCTCAGGTCTGGGAAAGAAGCAGATACAGCCTAAGCTAAATACCAAGTAGAATAATTCCTTTATTCAACTCCATTATGTCAATGAAATCATCTCTTAAAGGAAAAGGACAGTAAACCTTGGAGCATGGAGAAGTAGTTTTGGATCAAATAAGAGTAGTTAAATAGATAAACCTTCTAATTGTGTAAAAGAATATGATTATTTCTAAAGGAAGAGGAATGTTATTTCCAGGAGAATACAGAGTGGTGGAAAGTTAATTGCAGAGTGGGGGAAAGTTAATTGTTATGAGCAGTAATTGATTTTCCACGGGGTTCTTGGTTTATTGCAACAACATTCCTACTGATAGACTTTGTAAAAATTTTAAAACCTTATCTGTTTCCTTTTCCTCCCTTTACAAATATAGCACAGTGTTACCTTTGGACAATGCTAGGGCTGTACATGCACAGATTTTCAAATGAATTGCAGATTACACAGTGAGATATACATGGTAGAACAGCCTTGTGTTTAAGGCAGACTTCTTGACTAGGGCCAGTGCTATAAGTTGTAGGGATTCAAGCTATCAAAGAATCTGAGGTTCAAATTTCTCTTCCTTTATACACAAAACTAGTGGGGAAAAAGATGAGTTGACTTGCTGTAGTGCAGGTCTGGAGGCTCCTAGAACTCCAGAATCTCAAGTGGATTCCTGTACTGTTAAGTCTAAGGTTAAACCTGCCTTTGACAAAAGAGTCTAACTCAATCATCTGCAGTAATGAGGCAAATTAAAGGTGAAGTACAATGCTTTAAAGGATTTTTTAAGAACTTTTTTAGCACCTAATCTAAAACCCAGCAATCGGTAGACTTAAGTAAAAAAAAAATTGTAAAATTTTTTAGAAGTTACTATTAACCTACGAATAAAAGGTTCCCTTGATGGAGAGCTTGTCTTAAGAGTTTCATGACCCATAAATATTGTGGGTTCCAAACAGCTTTGTGGCAGGACAAGACAGGGCTGTAAGTTAATTTTTCAGAGAAGGGGGAAAATCAGTAACTGTCTTCCTACTAAGCATTTTCTTATGGTTATGAAGCAGATCTTTAAATCATGGGTTGGCAACTTAAGGCCCAGGGGCCAGATCCAGCTTACAAAGAAGCTGGGTCTGGCCCAACCTAGAGCAAAATGGGGGGAAATTGAGATGCACGCAGCTGTGCCAAGCCACCCATCCCCTCCACAGCACCTTCTTCTGCAACCCTCCCTACTTCCCTCTTGTACTTGAGCTTACCCTCACTGCAGAGGGGCTGGGTATCTGCAGCAAGGGTAAGTGCAGACAGCTTGAGCTTTGGAAAGGGATGAAAGGGTGGGGGGCAAGGGGAGGGAGAAGGAAGAGATTTGCACCCCCACAGTAGGGGGTGTGGTTGCAAGCTCAGGACAAAAAGTTGCCTATCACTGTTTTAAGTAATAGAGATGGCTACTGAATGTCTTGGAGAACTCCAAAGCACATGCGTGTCATGTTCCTAAGGTTTGCACTAATAGGTGGTGGTAAAGGAAATACAGAACAACTAAACTTGGGAGTGAAGTGGAGAAAAGATTTTCAAATGATGTTTCAAAATGCACCTGTAATGAGTTTGTTTCTTAAATTTCCATTTTGTTAAGCTGTCCAAAATAAAGATTTGTCACTCATCTACAATAAAAGCTGCAATTTTGGCCTTGTTATTCCTTAATTTCCTGTTTGCTGTGTAATTAAGACAGACTCTCAATTTTACCCCTTTGGGAATATACAGGTTGCAGGTAGACAGTATTCCTAATATTCTAGTATTTTTCTATAGTTAAGTTTATTACTCTTCTTGATGATTAGAATTAAGGGGTCTGCTAAAATTACCTATGGGCAAACTATTATAGCTAGATGCATCTTACTAAAATTTGACATTGAGGCTCTAAACTGGTAAAATCCCAAGAAATTCAGCAGGTAAGTTGTCATGGCAACCTAAACCCTTACACAGCCTCAAAATCTGCAAAGCTCAGATGTGCCATGAGAAATATTGTTTAAAAAAATGTGAATTAGGGCAAAAAGTTATGCATGTTAAAAACAAATAAGGATTAATTTAGCGTATGAAAAAGTACCTTGAGTTTGGCCGATGAGCATGTCCATTTGTATCTATTCCTAACAAATGAAGGAAGAGAATTACTTTTTCCTCATTTACGTTAGAAAACATGGTTTGATTACTTCTGGCAGCATAGAAGAAGTTCTATATGGAAAAAAAAAAACAAAAGATTATTTTTAGCACCATGGGGATGGGGGGAAAAAAGATATACATCTTTTAAAATGCAGCTTTTATTAATACATTAATACCACATTAGAATTTGGCAGAAAAGGGGGAGAAACTTACTTTATCCTTAGAGAAGGCTAATAAAAACATTCTGGTAAAATCATCACTCCTGGGTCTTAGCTATTGCAAAATAGGTACAACTCTAAGTTAAGCTTTTTGGTCCCTGCAGGCAGCAACAGCCAACCTTTTCCTTCTTTCTCCTCAGTGATGGGTAGACACTGCCTATGAATTTAACTTCTGCCTGTAACCTTCCACTGTTACTTGATTTAAAATGGAAAACGAATACAAGAAACTGATAGCTAAGAATATGTCGATAAAACTCTAGGCAGCACTGTGCAGAGCTGCCCCGTTGTGGCTCTCTATGGATAGAAACAGACATCACCTGACATCACATATATGCCACCATAACGATTGTTATAGTGGCAAAAATGCTGAGCATCTAGACATTCCTACCTTTTGTCATGCCACTTCAGTGGTGCAACAAAGCACTAATAAGTGTTGCTACTTTCCTGCAGCCAACATCTATTTGGTCTGTAGCAAGAGAACGTGGGCAGCCTGGAGCACTCTCCCACCAACCTGGGCAGCTGCTCCAAGGGCTTGAGGGGCCTCACTCTGGACACCCCAGGTGGGATTGGTGCCATAAGCCCCCAGGGCACCTGCCAGGGTTTCTCTGCTTACAGAAACACCTGGGTCACACATCTTTGTACGCAGGGAAAGACCACATGGGTCCCAAAACTCAGGGAATTCTGGGTGCTCTGTGCCAGTACCCACAGGACCCTGGGCCTACATGCTGGGACCCAGACTGACCTGTGCCTCATGCAGGGGCATATGAGCATGGGTCCTGGCAGGAGTGCAGAACCTGGGTAATCTCTAGCGCCGTGCGCCTCCCTGCAGGGACCCACACTTACTCATGTCTCTGTATGAAGCATAAGTCAGCACAGGTCCTGGTACAGTGTCAGGGACTACCCCACTCCCACTCCCCATCCCCACACTGACTCATGCTTCACATGTAACCATGGGTCAGAGTGGACCCCTACATGGAGGCATGGGGTGCTGGGGGGTTACCTAGCTCTCCTGCCACCCTGTGCCAGGATGCATGCTGACCTGTGCCTCCGCATGAAGCACAAACCAACATGGGTCCTGACAACGAGGCATGGGAGCCAGGGAAGTTCTAGGGACCCACGTTTCCATGCCAGTTAAAGTGCATCAGTTGTAAACAAAAATATTTTTCAAGGCTTAACCATCCTGAATGCCATCTTATAAAAGGAACGCAAAGCCCTGTGGTTCTCTCCAGCTAGATACATTCCCATGCCATTTCAAAAGTCCCTTCTGCTTACACATAATTAAACTTTTGATACAGTAAATTTTAGCTGATAGTTAAAGTCTGATGGAGACAGACATAGTAAGAAACACCAGTTTTCCTAACAGTTGTAGGCTCCCAAGAGTAGTGATTAATATAAGCACTGATTACTGCATATACAATTCATATTAAGGCTTTGCTAGAGCATTGACCAAAGCAGACTTTACCAAAGACCTCACGCTTACCAGGCACTTGGACTGGAAGGTGCCTGTGAGGTTAGGCTTTACAAATGCCTGACAGAGTTGACTGATAAAGTTCATTACTGGGTTTTCTCAAATACAACACCCACCTCCCCCCTCTGCAGAATGGGATGTGTATATTAAGCAGGGAAGCTAATCTTCTGACTGTCTGATTCCTGCTCCACAGTGCAGCAACACTGGCATTATTATTCAGGCAGCTGAGGGAGTCAATTGACTTAATGCGGGGGTTGTCGACCAGGGGTATTTGAGAAGGCCCTACGTGCAGTCCTTCGACAAATGTGTTAGTGAGGTGCTGCTTTGTACATAATAAATATGGCTGAAGATTTGCCACTGAATTAAGCCTACAGTCATTATTTTTATAAGTCAAGTCTCCAAGGGAATATATGAAGCAGCACAGACAACCCCCTGAGAGGGCACTGCTACATGGAGAATTACATTGAACAACAGAACGGAAGACAACAGTTATCAAGAACTTTCTTTCCATTTCTTTCTGCACATTAGCCATCATTCAACTGATACAGTCAATTTAATAATGTGGAAAAAGGTAGAGAAGAGTCATTCAAATCTGGACAAGTGTTAAAAATTGTATCTCACCACCAGTAAAAAAAAGCTACAGGTCTACACTGGCCGTGTCTACATGAGATGCTGCCTATGCAATTGTTACTGTGCAGTCAGTATACACAAGTATGAAATGACTGTACAGTAACTGGAGTTACTGCTCAGTAGCATCACCGAAAGGCTTTCAGGTGATGCTGACTGCGCAGTAGTGTGACGTTACACTTCATGTCACACAGTGGTACTGCACAGTATTAACGAGCTACTGCACAGGCAGCATCTTGCGTAGACGTGGCCACTGCATAGGAAAATATCTTCTAGAAATCAACAAAAATGGAAATTCTAATTTCAAGAGACAATCCTAATCAGAGTAAGAGGCCTTTATGATAAAACCATAGTTAAAGCTGCGTGTTCACATACACACAGAAGGGGAAGCATTTTGACCTGTGTATTAATGGATGCACAAACAGCAACAGGAATGCTGGCATATTTTTAAAACTGGGGACAAAGTACACCCAGTTATTCGTAGATTAATAGTAACTTCTAAAAAATTTTACAATTTTTTTTTACTTAAGTCTACCGATTGCTGGGTTTTAGATTAGGTGCTAAAAAAGTTCTTAAAAAATCCTTTAAAGCATTGTACTTCACCTTTAATTTGCCTCATTACTGCAGATGATTGAGTTAGACTCTTTTGTCAAAGGCAGGTTTAACCTTAGACTTAACAGTACAGGAATCCACTTGAGATTCTGGAGTTCTAGGAGCCTCCAGACCTGCACTACAGCAAGTCAACTCATCTTTTTCCCCACTAGTTTTGTGTATAAAGGAAGAGAAATTTGAACCTCAGATTCTTTGATAGCTTGAATCCCTACAACTTATAGCACTGGCCCTAGTCAAGAAGTTTGCCTTAAACACAAGGCTGTTCTACCATGTATATCTCACTGTGTAATCTGCAATTCATTTGAAAATCTGTGCATGTACAGCCCTAGCATTGTCCAAAGGTAACACTGTGCTATATTTGTAAAGGGAGGAAAAGGAAACAGATAAGGTTTTAAAATTTTTACAAAGTCTATCAGTAGGAATGTTGTTGCAATAAACCAAGAACCCCGTGGAAAATCAATTACTGCTCATAACAATTAACTTTCCCCCACTCTGCAATTAACTTTCCACCACTCTGTATTCTCCTAGAAATAACATTCCTCTTCCTTTAGAAATAATCATATTCTTTTACACAATTAGAAGGTTTATCTATTTAACTACTCTTATTTGATCCAAAACTACTTCTCCATGCTCCAAGGTTTACTGTCCTTTTCCTTTAAGAGATGATTTCATTGACATAATGGAGTTGAATAAAGGAATTATTCTACTTGGTATTTAGCTTAAGCTGTATCTGCTTCTTTCCCAGACCTGAGGAAGGGCATTTTGTGCCCAAAAGCTTATCCAACAAAAGGTATTACCAACCAAAGCTTGTTTTTCTTGCTAGACAGAGACTGTTTTGATCCTGGAAGATGCAAATCTCTGTGGAAAAGGTGAGATGTAATGATAGCATGACCTTTGGAAGAGGAACCAAAATTCATAGGATCATTGGAAAGCAGGGTTGCTAGGGATCTCAAACAGTCATCTAGTTCAGTCCCCTGCACAAGACAAGATTATCCCTGACTAAATCATCCCAGCCAAGTGTTTCTCTAACTTACTCTTGAAAACTTATAAAGGATGGAGATTCCACATCTTCTGTTCCACTGTTTGGCCACCCTCACAGTTGGAATGTTCCTCCCAATTTCAAACCTAAATTTCCCCTGCTGGGGCTTAAGGCCATTTCTCCTAGTTCTGTCCCCTACAGACAAAGAAAAGCCCATCTGCATCCTCTCCAATATCACCCTTCAGGTAGCTGAAGTACATTATATGGTAGGAACAGAAGGGGGATGAGGGGAGGGGGGAAATTGAGACAAGAAACAAGTGAATTAAGCTAGTCACCTATGTGTGTATATAGTTGTTAGTTAAAGAGACTGAACTGAACCTAACTGTCCTGTATTGTACTAAGTGAAGATATTACAAATATTACAAGCAGACTATACTTGTAATCATTATGCCTTGTGCTAGGTGACCTTAACTGATATCTTTTACATATGGCTCACTGCAGCTAGTTTTGCACGCTTGTGCAAGGAGACAGAGAGCATAAGCAACCATCTCTCATGATGACCACCTCCATACACAAACTTGAGTCAGTTTTTTTCACACAGTTGGATAAACCTGCATGAATCCTTGTGCAGGCAGACATCCAGTTAAACATTAGCTATGGCAATTTTTGGAGGCAAACAGTTTTATAAGTGCAAACTCATCTGAAACACGAGTCAATTTTATATCAGTTCAAGAGCATCCATACAAAGTTGCATCCATACAATTAAGTCAACCAGTCATTTTATAACCATCACGCTTTCCATTAAAGTAAAGCAACAGCCAGGTTAGATCAGATCAGGGAGACCAACACCAGTGTTTGTACTCAGACTACATATCTACGTCATAATTTACCTTGTCAGACAAAGGCATGCTCAGAATGTATTGGACGGCAACAAAAATCAAGGCTGTATACTTTTAGTTACTCTCATCCCTGTCCCACCATACTCTTTCTGGTGCGGAAGAAGCAGGAGTGGCCTTACAGCGTCTTGAAAGCTGCTGTATGCACCGCGGAGTAATACTACGCCTAGGTCCCAAGGCAGGTAGACAGTAAGAGACATTCTTGGCCTACTCAATAAATTCAAAATTATACTACATAAGATGCTGACAGAATTCGAAGCAACATTTCAAGTTTGAATCCTCATTAGCTGTGTTTTCTCACCAATGCAGCAGAGGCACTTATTTGAATTACACTGACAAAAGAAGCTCACATTCAGCAAGTCTGACTTGCCTTCCTAGAAGCACTCATTCATTTGTAACAGAAGGGTTGATTAATGGAATGGCTGTTTTACACTAGTTAATTGCATATCTAACTTTCATGCTGTCAGCAAGTTAAATTGACAGGAATGTAGGAGGAAGTGTTTTTTCCCAGAGCAACAGTATACATATAATAATGAACCATTTGTTCTGGTAAAGTAACATCACCAAAAGTATGTCTCTACCATTATCATTGGCACATACTTGTGTTACATGTCTTGAATTGAATTTAAATTCATCTGTTTCCTGAGACCAGTGCAGCTCCAAATGTCTGTAGGCTTGAACAGGTGTTTGAGCATAGCATGATCTGACAAAATACAAGTATACTTGAAGGTATGAAGTTTGCCCTGTAATACTCACACTCATGATACATAACTACATTACATGTCCAGAAAGAGAGAGAGACTGGAAGTTCTGGGTGAGGGGGAATAACATTTTTACTGAGTTTGGAAGCAAACTTCTTATGTGAAAGAAGCTGTTAAATGAAATGAATGTGAAATACCTCCACATCATTCCTTGGAATAAAGCCTCACATAATTTGCCATCAAGAAAACAGCAATGAAGATCTTGCAGGACTTTCCCAAATTATACACAAAAATTGCTGGCTCCCCCACACCACAATGCTTTCATGAATAAAATCTGATTATTAAGTATGTTAAGTATGGTGACTGCAGATATGTTGCCATCTCAGTAAGAGTTCTTAGAAACAGTCACACTGCTGTTAAACATGCCTTATTTCAGGATTCATACCTAGGTTAAAATACTTTGTTAAAGGAGCACAAGGCAAGCCTTATAGAAAAGAATAGCAGGTGTCTGAAAACATTATTAGGGTCCGATTGACAAGTACTTCAGACAAGTGATGGCAGTTAGTAAGGACATATATAAATTCTGGCTCATATTACATGAATTCTTGGTCTTCAATACAAAGGTAGAGGAAAGTGTTTTCTTCAGCTTCTGAGTAGATACACCATCAACGCTGCCTTTCATGCATAAATAATGTGAAATAAAGAAATTTTTATTCACCTTAACGTTGTCAAAAACCCAGGTATCTAGTACCGTTGCATCTTCTGCTCCAAAGTCTTCCTTCTCTGCTGTGTAACAGTAAGTATAAACATGATCCCCGCTGGCACCTGCGAAAAGGACAAAAATGCAATATGGATAGGAAAAAGATCAATTCTCCTTGCCTTAATTAAAAATACAGTTCATGAAGGCAGGAACAGAAATCAGTAACTCCATAGAAAAGCAAGAACCTAAACTAAACGAGTTAACATTACTGTAACAGAGAAACCTACCAGGGCCGATTTCCACGTGGCCCGCCCCCCTGTTCTTGGGCAAACCACCCGCCTTACTCGCCCACCACCCCTTGATCTTAATTGATTAATAAAGATGTAAATTAAGTGGGAGACTGCCTATTTACTGCCCCGATGCCAGGGGGCACTATCTGTGGCTCTGTTCCTCCCCTACACTGCAGCCCAAGCCTCGCAGATGGCATCCAGTTGTCCACATCATTACTGGTCCCACCGGGCTCCAGAATCGATCTATCAAGACCCCTTCTCACCACCACCCCACACTACCCCCTCACTGGGGCTTCTCACACCACCCCCTCACTGGGGCTCAATCATCACAGCCCCCTCCACTGGGGCTTCTCACACTGCCTACTGTCTTTTGGGGTCTACCCTCTAGGCCCTCTGCATAAAGGGGTTACCCACCCAGTGGTGGGGGCTAGGGGTTAAGGTGCCCTGACCCGCCTTTCACCAGGGTGGTAACTGGCCTGGCATTTCCTGGGGGCTCACGCACCACTGGGAGCCCCACCAGGCCACCCATTCCCAGCAGGGTGCAGTTTTAGGTCATACCCAGGACCAGGAGCCTCCTGCCATCCCCTACAGCTCCTCCCTTACCTCCAGTTGCAACTCAGCAGCCCTCAGGCCAGGCAATGTTGTTGCCTGACCTCCAGCAGCCAAACTGTCTTGTTTATATAGGCAGCCCTGAGCCTAAAATGGCTGCCCTCATTAGGCACCTGGAGGCTGCCAGCTCCCGGGCCTTAAAGTGGCAGGCACACATAGTGCCCTGCCACAGTTACCTTCTGCCATTTCTTGGATTTTAACTTTTAGTTGATCAGCTGATGCATCTTCAAGGTTATGTCAGAAATGCCTTTATGTTGCTGCCTCTCCCTATTTTCCCTTCAGTTGGTGAGGCATCAAGGGTGGAAAGGCAGATAAGATGGCAGTAGGTTCTATTTTATTAGGAAAATGCAGGCATACAGAATTTAAATATGACATGACAGGTGTTTGGGCAAGAGGAGATTTTCATGCAGGACCATGAAAATTGTGGGCCATATGTGAATTTAGACTCAGGAACTTACTGTATTCTTCTTGCTCAGTGGTTGCAGCACTACCTTGAAATTAAGCAGGGAGTTTAAGAGAAGGTCCCCTCAATACCCAATTTCACTGCTAATGCTGCAGCATGTCAGTCAAAATATTGAAATGCACTCCTGTCAATCAAGAATTGACAATCAAAGCTGCAGGAAACAAAGATTATCAAAAACCTTCACTTTTAAGTCTGAAAACAAGGTTTCTGATTTCCAGAATATAAACCTAATGTGAAACTATGAAAGACAACCCCATTTCAAAATTTTTTTTTAAAAAAGATCTCACACAAATATAAAAGAACGGTGAAGAAAGCAATAAGGAAGTTGTTTTAAGGTAGTTGTTTTCAGTCAGGTCTGCAGGGAATATCTCACTGCTAAAAACTAAAAAGGATGGCTTTGGAACAGATTTGAGATAGTTACAGTCTTCAAAGCCCTTCATCTTTAAAAATGTATAAAGAAGTAGGAGTCAAAGCAAATAAGAATTTTTGAGGCAAAAATTTCTAGATGTGCAATTTCTGGATGGGTCCACTGATGTGGAAAAGAGCATCTGGACACAACAGGCACATCCTGTACTTGATAAAGGCTAACACTCCAGCTTGTGGAAAGCAGGAAACAAGGAATTCAATTTGTGAAGTTCTGAAGTGATCTAAAATCAGGAGCGGCATAATGAATTTCTCCAGGCAATGGCTAAGTTGTTGAAGCCTCATGAAGCCATTTCCATTTCCATTATTCTGCATAAACTGCCAAAGGGGAAGTGTACTCCTGTCAACTGATGGCCAGAGAGAATCCAGCTGATTTCTCAGTTACTCCACTTACACAGAGCAACTTGGTAGAGTTCCAGGTATCAAGACGTGGTGCTTACCTGGATTATACACAAGGGTTCAAGAGTGTCACTGGCATTCTGAACAGTGTTGTGATCCCAGAAAAAAAATGTAAGAGACAAGGATTTCACAAAGATGGTATATTTTATTGAAACAACTGTATAACTGGAAAGGAAACAAGCTTTCGGGTACCAAGTAGCCTTCCGCAGGTCACGAGTGTCACAGGAATTTTAGGCTGGAGATATGAAAGTTACAGCAGCTGTTTCCATGAGGGGCAACTTATTTATAAATCCAGCACACACACTGTCATTTGCCAACTAGTAAAAGTCTGATACTATCAGAAGGGGAAGTAAAATACTCCAAGACCCTTTTTTTAAAAGTAGCATGTAGGGAGTTTCTCTCAGTGGAAAGAAGATCAAGAAAGCAAGCAGAGTTCATTAATGAGATTTGATATTACAGTATGATTCAGCATCATACTGTTGTGTGGTGATAGGACAGAGCCAGCAGAAAAACCAGAATGGCTCTAAAACAAGCTTCTGTCTCTAAAAATGGACAGAGCTGGAGTGGGGGAGAATCAAATATGTGCCTGTATGGGCTGAATCCATCTCTGCTGCTACTCACCCTATTTTCTACCAAGGTAAAGAAACCGCATGACAGGCCCTTTCCTGAAAAATTCTGGACCACCTGGAATAACTTACAGCATCTTCAATGATTACATATTTAGTTACTTTATGACCCTTCAAAAGATAATATTATGCAATGCTATTTCCTTATCTTGGTAGAGGGAGCAGGAAGGAGAAGGGGGCAAGGAATGAGAAATACACATTCTTTGACAAGAAGTAAGAAACACAAGTGTTTTTTCTTCTTGTAGTAATGTACTAGCTGCTTACTTTCATTACAGGGAAAACTAGGTTCTCAGAAACTTCCCCACCTCGTGCTAGTTTCTCCCACAGATTTTCCTGTCTGACAGTTTCTTGGCACTATAAAGGATCAGAATACTACTGTTAACAACAGATTGCAACCTCGTAGTAGGTAGAAGTCATGGTCAAGGACAACACGAGGTCTGCATGGTCAGCATCTTCACAAGCAATGCATGCCAGTCATTGGGTTGGGAGCCTGAATTGCTAGTGAAGAAACAGGTGCAGTAACACAGTCACATGCTGTTAGAACAGAATAAGATGGCAGGTGTGCTGTACATAAATCAGCAAGTGTCAGGCTGCTTCAAGAATAAAAAGAAGTTACTTGCAAAAGTAAACAAGCTTAGAAGCATCTGCTTGCATGGATGCACTGTGGGTGATGTTCATATATCTTGGTGCAAAGCTGCAAAAGGTGGAACTTCTGAACAGCAGTGCCTGATTGAAACTGTAGTGTACACTGCCTAGATGACAGTCCCCCACACCACTTCACTTCAGGATTCCCCACTGCTGCTCAGTTCAGTCTAGTAAGTGCCAGTAGCGGCCTGTGTCATCCAGTAATCCCCTTTGGAAGCATTTTGCACTTCATAGTCGGCAGTGTATTTGAGTTCATGGTCAACTGTCAAGCTACCAGTGAACTGTTCCTATGCTGCTGCAAAACTATTTTAGCACAGATGAGGCCAACTCACCAGCTTCAAACTTTAAGCCGTTCTTTCCTCTGGAAAGCAGAGCTTGAGTTCTGCTACTGAAGCTATTCCTAGGTTGGAAGATCTCATATGGAATCACCAGGCGAGATTCTACTCAGATGGACATCTAAGTCTGGGTGAAAGGAAGACATCTACCAGCAAATTTTAGCTGATGCCTATGAGTCGGGTTGTGCTAGGGAGAAGGCAAGAAGCAGCTAAGAGAAGGATCTGCATGAAATGAGGTGGAAGTATGGGCAGCAAAGGTGGTAAAATCAGACACAACTGTCTTTTTTCTGGACAGTGTAGGAGGAAAAGTTATATTTCTATTTATATCCATATCTTGAAAACAGTCTACTGAAGTTCCTGGAGACTGGTTGTTTAGCTAGTTTTAAAGCTAAATTTCAGAGACACCAAAGTCAAGATCTTTCCTTTGCAAAAATTAAACCACATTTGATATTAAAAGCATTCTAAACAATCTCTGAAAAGTTAGTATGTAAATATTGAAAATAAGTGATAAAGAAATAGGAATTTTAATGCTGCTTTAACAGCAAACATGCTGCATGCACATTAACTATGAAATTGCTTTAGACATCCACATGATCAACACTAAACCATATAAAAAATATTTTTCACTAAAGTTCAGATTTAAGGGTCAATTTTTGTTACTTATTTTTTCCTCCACTGTTCATCTCTTACCCCCTTTTTTCCTGGGTCCAAAGAAACCAACAAAACTTAGATTTAGGTTTTCTATTGAAACTGTTAACTTTTAAAAGGTAACAGATTTATCAACCTTGGAAACATGAGGAGAAAACACTAAGATAAAGCAATTCACTTTTTATTCATCAATCTCTACAAAAGGAAATAAAAACATTTAATAAATAAGAACATAAACTACAATAACCCAGTCACTTGCAATGAAAAAACTGACATTTTTTATGAAGTATAAATGAGGAACAAAAAAGCCATAACAATTTATTTAATTTTTTCTACATTTTAGAAATACAGACGTGTTATATTTTTCTTGGAAAACTATAGATGCCTGACAAAATAAGACAGATATAGAAGAATGAAATTATACTTAATTTAAGAATTGTTCCTTCAATGAGGGTATCTCATGTCTTCTGTTTATGACGCAATTTAGATGTGTCAACAGTTAGAAGAAAACTCTCTTTTAAAGAGGTAGAACAGGGGCCAGCTCTGTTTTTTGGCACAGTACCAAAAACGTCCACAACTTCAATTTGTAAGATGTTGGTGTGCCAGGGGTAGATGGCGGGGGGAGTCACAAGGGGCATGATCCTTGCTGTGGTAGCGCAGTCCTGGCCTCTTCCCTGCCATCCACCC